TCGATGTTGAAAAACACAAACTGTTTGGGGTCTACGGTGGTGTAATTCATCTCTTTAACACCTTTTGGTTTTTGAAACAGGTTTTCGCCCTACCAAGTCAATCCCAGAGAAAGCAACATTATGCCTCTGATCCTATTTTTTGCAATGCGATACCTCTGATTTACCCTTGAGGTTTCAGGCGTTCCTGGCTTTTTCCAACCTGGTACAGCTGGTGTACTTTGGAAGGATTCCATGGAATCGATGGCTTCGGTGATTTCGTTGAGTCAGGGTTTAGGGTTTGATTAGATGAGGTTAACAGTTCGTGAGGTTTGGGAAGTTTTCTGGCTTGACTTTTTTGAGGTTCCAAGAGGGAGTTTGATGCAAAGCAAACCAAGTGAATCCAGGAGTTGGCCTATGCCAGTGAAGGCCAGTCATTGGACTTTTATCGCGAACCTTGACCAAAAGAACAGAGGGGCAGGGCTAAAGAAAATTGTTTGGATTCCCCCAGACAGCTAAAGACTAGAGGAATCCTTATGATAATGGGTCCTTCGCACTTCATAAAGTCTAGAGTGCAGAGCCCTGATTACAACTTCAACAGTACGACAATTTTGTCGCTGCTGCCTCCCGCACCCTGTCTACCATCTTGGTGAAACCATTGCTACGACCCATCGCTTCTCTCTCCCAGCCTCTCTTCTGTGCTGATGGCTGTCGAGCTGGACTCACTGTGCTTGTTGTTTTGGACTCATTGCAGAGTAAGGAGAAAACCATATTGCTGGGGTCGCGTGTAGAGCTTCAGATGAGACCTTTTCATGGAACCACGACAGTGGCCAAGAACCTTGGAGTAAAAGGGGGTCTTGTAGCACCGTGTTGCCAACTAAGGACTACAACGTTGCATGGAGAGATCCAGCGAAGTACTTCGCACCGATCTCTCAGCTGGACACTTCAAAGCTACATCCGTGTGAGGATACATTGCTGCTCAACACCGCAATGATGAAGCAATATTTACAGGTCACGGGAGACGACGATGGAGTCATCATTCAAGGCCAGGTCTGGTTCACAGCATCACAGCGAAAAAGCTCCTAGTAGCGTCCTTGTTCCTAGTAGCGATGCCCTTTGCTCCTAGTAGCGTCCTCTATCCCCCTCATGTGCCAGGTATGTTTGGTTTTGTTTGATCAATTGAAAAACCTGCTGTTTTGCAGGGAATGGAGACGTGCACGGCCGTTGCTTCGATGGTCACTTCTGGCGTTCTCCAGCCTGTCGCAACAACGCATCGGCTTGCCTGGTGCATCTCACGGCGGGATCTGGATGGGGAGGTGACGAGTTCATGATGAAGGCGACCGACGGAGAGAGGAATCCATGAGGTCCTTTCATCGGTTGGCGTTCATGTAGGGCTGCATTCATGGAAAAAGAACATCTCCAGGAATTCAGAAGCACTCCTTTTGTGCTGGTTTTGACATTGCAGTCAGTAGATACAGTAGAAGCGTGCGGTCCCTGCATGCAGAGGCGACAGCCTTCAGCACCCCCATTGCATGGGCTGTGGCAAAGACTTGGGGTGACTACACGACGATCCCCAAGGATCTCAACGTGAGCTTCTTCTGGTGGACGCCAGACCCGACCTTCTTGAGGCGTGGAGGTCACTTCCGCCGTTTCACAGAGAAAGAGGGTGGAACTTTTCACTTTGCCACAAGGAGGTTCTCTTTCATTGGCAAGGTCCAGCGAGGCAATGTTTGTATGGCTCATTCAATCTCGTTTTGTGTGCTGCGTTCATCCTTTCTGAACGGGCCACCCGTCAGTTGCGAGGCTTACACCTGTGGGCATTCAATTTCCTCCACATGACGCGAAGGCTTGGAGCATCAATGATAAGACTTCGCAAGCCGTTGAACTCTCAATTGACAAGTACATCAGCAAGGACGGACATATTTCTGAGCTGTGGAGATGGAATTCCGGAGTTCCAACTGAAGTCAGAGTATAGGTTCGGTTTTCGCTGGAGGTTTTGGATGAGTTTACTGATACTTGCGGTGCTCCTGTAGACTGGTTGGGGCTTGAAAAACTGGTTTCCGACTGCTGAGCCGGTTTGACCATCGCGGCAGCAAAAGCAAGGGAACTTCCTGCCGAACCGGCGTTTTTGACCAGGATGATTTCAATGAGCACGATCATGGTGATGACGACAACAGCATGATATATATATATATATTTTAATATATTTAATTTATATGATTCATGATATATTATGTCACGGTCTTTTTGTTTTATATATTCAATTCCCTTCTTCGGAAAGATCTAGCTTGTAAGCCGCGTCATGCGCGCGCGCGCGCGCGAGGACCTGGCGTCTTTGGCTCCGGACATCGAGGAGTTCCTGAAGGCCTTTCTACTGGACATCAAAGATATTGACGGCATGATGCAACTATGCAGAGACTTTATTTAGCAGCGTACTTTGTTTCTTCTGTTTTGTTTTCTTTCAATGAACTGAATCCAGCGTACTTTGAGCTGGCAAGCGTAGCTGAGGCTCAAGCGAATGAACTTTGACCTCACTCACTTTGACGCAGCTTGTGATTGGCTACATGCCAACAATATGACTTGGCAAAAGTGGCTTCCCGACAAGACTGAATGCTTTGAACGCTTCGGCCTGTACAATGAGCGGCAAGATGCTTGGCATATTTGTGGGCTTCTTCAACATAGAAGCAATTGCCTCCAACCTAATAATAGCTATGGCCTCCAAAAAGCATATTTCTGCACATATTTTGGGTTTTCCTTGTAGGAACCAAGAGTCCAACGACCAAACGAGCTTCAGCTTCACGACCAAACTTCATCGATGCTTTTCGTGATGTCGGTGGGACGGCCATGACGGTTTGCGGTTGGAGACTGGCCATGGACGTCCAATCGCTGATGGTTCGATATTTGCTTCGCACCCTTGACCTTTTCTTTCGGAGGACGCGCATGTGGAGAGCCGGTCTGACCCTACAGACCTCGTGTGCCGAGCATGCCCACCGGGCACCAGCTCCCAAAAGCTGGAGGAGAGCGCCTTCCGCGGGCCGAACTGGCCTTCCGCAGGGCTGGGGATGGCTTGGGTTGGGTTCTCGTGGTTGGGGGGCCAAGAAATCACAGCGGGTATGAGTCAGGCTAGAGATGGTAGGAGTCCGTTAGTAGTTCCTTTTCGATACGTTACTGCAACCAAGGACAAAGCTTTCGGGAGGAACCGTTCCCTGCCAACTGGGATACTTTTTGGGCGTCGCTTGGTGAACCACTGGTGGGTGGCTCTGATGGGTCTTTCAGGTGGTGGAAAGCTGCTGCCAGTATGTCTCTGAAAAGGATTATATATATATAAATACCGACGGACTGAAAGATAGAATGCCTGCCCCAAATCGAAAATCGTTCTTAGAATGCCGAAAACCCCATCGTCCGGTGCAACGTCACCGGACAGAAATCCACTACTCTTAGAATGCCGCCTTTTTGGGGGTTGTAGCGTTCTATCTTTCAGTCCGTGGGGGAAAAGGGGTAGCAAGGGGAAGGGGTAGCAAGGCAATGGAAAAAAGGCAGAGGGACAAACAGGGAAGAACATTGCGAGGGGCAAGGCAGGCAAAAACCGGACAGGCAAAGGAAAGAGGAAAGGAAAGGAACGAAACAGGGTGAGAAAGCAACACACACTCTGGAATGGGAAAGGTGTAAATCTCTTGCGTAGACCTTGCATGACCTTGCCAAGATTTCTGAGCAAACAGTGCAAAGAAAATAGCAATGGAAAGTGTACAGTTGGAAGCCCACATCAGACACAGTATCAAGGAGGCTCATGACCAGAGAAGTGAAGCAGAAAAGGGCATAGTAGAGACAGAAGGAAAGGGGGAGAGGGGGGGCGTACACAAATCAAGAGGCAACATTACGATGAATTCCTTCCTTGTTGTGTCCCTTTTCTTCCGTTCCCTCCCCTGTTCTTTTCGTTTTCCTCGCATTGCAATATTATGATCATTATTTTTGATCATTTTATGACCGATGGAATAGGGATCACATGGTCGGCATTCTAAGTGATTTGGTGCAGGCATTCTGCCAGCATTCTAAGTGGGTTGCTGCATGCATTCTGCACACTTGGTCGTTTTGTTCATTAATTCATGTCCTTTCAAAATCCTTTTGATTCCCACCGATTTCCTTTTGACATTCTTTTGATTCCTATTAATTCCTTTTGCTTTCCTTTCAAAGCCGTTTTGATTCCTTTTGAAGTCCTTTTGCTAGTGATTTCCTTTTAGATTTCTTTGATTCCTATTGATTTCCTTTCAACTTCATTTTGATTCTTTTTGGCCGGCGGGTTCATCAGACATGTGCATCAACAACGACAACCCTTTGGAGGAATTCTGCAAAAGCCCCTACAGATAGAATGCCTCACCCATATTTTTTGGGGTAGGCATTCCAACCGGGTGCCATGCGCCGCATTCTAAGATCCCACGTTGCAAACCCCTGGTCGGGCATTTTATCTTTCAGTCCGTCGGTAGTATATATATATATAGATGGTTGTATATTCAGTTTGAAGGGGCCATGTTCTCCCTGTCTCTTGGTTTGAAGATGGAGACTTTTCACCCTGGTGGCTCTCGCAGGACACTGACGGCACCACCTTCATTTGCCGACCATGTCCTGCAGGCACTTACCAGGTGTGCCGTCAAACCATCTGCGTGGGTAAGAGAAGTTCGGACGTCATGAACCTCCAGATTCAAAGACCAGCAGTGCAGCTGGACCCATTTTGCCGGAGGTCCAATAGTTCAAGTGATGCTGAACAGGCTTTTGGTTTTGTGATTGGCTTGGAATTATGGTATTTTTACATATTTTTACTATCACACAGTCTTCTGTACCGTTGGCTGCTACGAGAAATGATCCATAGGGAGAGCAGCAGTAAAAGAAGCAGTGGACGTGTGCAGTGCTGGTAGCTGGTCGTCGTCGCTGCTGTTGTCCCCGCCATCGTCGTCCCAATTTCTTATGAATTAACTCTGTCCACCTCTGGTGAGGAGGTCCACCTCTGGTGAGGAGGTCCACCTCTGTCCACCTGTTGAAACATCTCCCTTCGGTGAAACCGCTTCGGCAGGTGTCAGGCGCGTCGCTGTCCTGCGACGCTTGCCCATATGGAGAGTACCAAGATGAGATTGGCAGCATTTCATGCAAACGTTGTGGCTTTGGAGTGTACCAGAATGCCACGGGCCAAAGTAGCTGCATTCCGTGCCCTGTGGGGACCACAACACTTGGGTTTCTTGGACCAAAGTCTCAAGCCAGACATATCCGATCATATGTTTCCGGAGGACAGACAGTGTCCACCATCGAATCATGTGGTGACATGAATCGAAATTGTGCAGTCCATGAGGTTTCTTGCGCAGTCCATCAACGATTGTGGATGCAAAGCAGACACCATCAACATTCTTCCTGCAGCCTCCAGCAACATGTGGCTGAAGAGTTGTCAGAATTTGGAAGTATAGCATTACATTACACGAGGTGAGGTGCATATCAGTACGTGTATTCCTCGAGAAATCATAGAACTGGTTGATTGGACCAAGATTAAGACATTCTTTCTTGAGCACGGAAAAGGGCGAGTCGTGTTTCTTTGAAGGATTTTCCTGCCGCAGATGCAGACAGGAGTAAGTCCAGACGTAACTTTTGTACATTCTTCTTTTGCATGACTGCAACATGTGTTTGCACAAGCCAATTTCCACTTAAACATGACGAAGGCTGGAAGCAAAAGATCGTAAATACATCATCAACAGGTGGTGCCTTGTGGCTGCGCTTTCCTTGTGTTGGGCATTGGCCCGTTTCCCCTCTCAACTGGAACATGGAGACCGGTCTTCTCAGTTGACCGAGTAACTTTGAGTGAGGTAACTTCGAGTGTCAAGGATGTGGGGAAGGGCTTCATTGCCCCTTCAGCAGCAGCGTGGACAGCTTGACGCAAGGCGAGGCTCTCCTTGGAGAGGACTATGTCCCTCAAGTGCTGGAAGGCGGCGAAATCTCCGAGCCACCGACCGTTCGCCGGTTCGAAAGCGGTTCGAGCACGGAAGCCATGGTTTGTTTGTTTGGTGTGCTACTTTTCTCGTATTTCGGAATCTGAGGCTTCTCGTATTTCAGAGATGTGGATGTAAGTAGTTGAGACTTTCAGGGTTGAACAAAGGCATTGCTTTCAGCCGAATTGCTTTCAGCAGGAGTTGAGCGCAAGCTTGCCTTTCTGCCCCACAGTTTCAGTGCCTTTTGGCCAGGCTATGTGTCAAGTCTGGACGAGCCCTTGGAGATCTTCAAGTGTCAACCTGCCAGCTTCTGTTCGGGTGGAAAGCCAGGAGCGGCCCGAAATAACCTACGGAATAAAGGAGAAAAATCCATCGCAAGGCACCCTTTTTGGGCATAGCTGGCCGCTAGCTTCAAGGACAGTGTTTGAAGGCATGACGATGTGACTTTGAGCGGTGACGCCACCAAAGGGTCCGGCTGTCGTCTTCCCAAGGAGCATGTGCTGGTGGGCTCTCCGGCATGCCCTGTGCTTCTTGCGACGCGGGGAAGGCTTGGAGTGGCACCAAGTGTGAGGAGTGCGGTGCAAATGTGGTTCTATGGGCAGTGGGCACACCCGCAGCTTCGCTTCGACTTCAATGGACATCGACTTGACCGCATTTGGACCGCCCCAGTGACAGTTCTGAAACATTTGTCCTTTTTCTCTGGATGGACTGATCTGCGCGTCGTCCGTGCTGTTTTTTACTGATCTATTCCGGGTCCATGGAAATGACTGCCTGGTCCATGAGTTGTTGGAAGTTCGTTAACTGTTTTCGTGCACGGCTCACCCAGGTAGCCGCCGCTGGTCTCATTGGTGCATACTATTTTGTGAACTCGGACATCATGGCCAAGGCTACTGCCTTCCAGGCCTGCCGAAAGTGAATCCCCAGGACTGAAAAGCAGGACCCCATGCTGCCGAAAGTGTGTTTCACGCATTTGGCACTTGATACAGGACATCATGAAATTTCAACAGAGACCTTGTTCACCAATCTTTCATCAATTTTCTTTTTGGTTTGGACCTTAATTCCAAGTATAGTGGACTGACTTGCTTTCTTGCTTGCTTTGCTTTGCCTTGCCTTGCCTTGCCCTGCCCTGCCCTGCCCTGCCCTGCTTGCTTGCTTGCTTTCTTTCCTTGCTTGGTTTGCTTGCTTTGCTTTCCTTGCTTGCTTTGCTTTGCCTTGCTTTGCCTTGCCTTGCCTTGCTTTGCCTTGCTTGCTTGGCCTTGCTTGCTTGCTTGGCTTTTGCTTTGCTTTTGCTTTGCTTTGCTTTGCTTGCTTGTACCTCACAGACACACCGACACCTGCCAAGAAAGACAATGCAGCCGCACCCTTCCTGGCTGCCAGCAAGCCTGCGAGGCTTGCCTCATGGCTGCGGGTATCACTGTGAACGCCTGTCAAAGCATAGCTATCTTCGGCATGATGACGGTGCAATGGACTCCCAACTTTGAAAGCCACTTGGCCAGCGCAGAAATAACACGTGGTTCGTGAATCAAATGTGTGGAAGTCTGCTTAAGTGTATTCCAGCTGACATGATAATATTTTCAGCAATTTGGAATCCCTTTCCTTTAACTCCCCCTGCAACGCCTTCTGAGGCACGAGTTCCAGCCTCAGCGCTTTCGTTCTGGATGTTGAGATCTTGGGCGTTGCTTGCGTGACGGGGCCCAGCAACTTCCTCCGCTTCCTCAGCAGCGCCTCCGCGTTTCCGGTCGCCTCATTGGTGTTGGTGGCTTGCTGGGCCGTCACCAAAAGCTGGAGCAAGATCTGCAAATGCAAGAAGCTTCAGGTAGCTTGGATGGTCAGTGAGCGCGAAGGAATTTTGTTGCGATGTTTGAGCTAGGACTAGCTGAAATCTTTGATCTCGGTGATGTGGGCACGGCTTCAAATTGGCTTGCACCCCAAGCCCTTTGCAGAAGAAAAAGAAGAAATAGGCCAGACACTGAGGTTGCTTGCTGCTTCCCGGTTCAGCTTCCGCGTTTGGCCCAGGTCACACCGTGGAGGTTTTACAAAACGGCCAACACCGTGGGCGTCTTCCTTCAGGCTCCAGCCGTGGGCAATGCTGGACGTTTCGGGGTCAAGTTCCAACGCTGTTTTAGGGTGCTTTTTCGTCGTTGGTGTTGAAAAAGAACATCACACATGTCACATCATCACACAAGTCTGTTTTTGGGCTCGCTAGGCATCTAAACGAATCCCAGACCAGATTGGCTGCATGCGGAGATTTCCATCAGATGGGTTTCTTTGACAGGTTGGCTTCAGTGCTCTCGGGGCATTGGCCTTGCAGCCTCTCATGTGCTACCACCACCCCAACGACCAATACAGCCTCTTGAAGTACCCGGACACCTTCTGCGGAAGCGATGAACATGGAGCGATGCTGGGTGTTGGAATTGTATCTTTGCTGAGTATGGGCTTTGAACTCTGTCCTCTTCTTTTCTCGGATTCGAGCAGGTTCTACTTGCATCTCCTATCAGTGCTGTTTCAAGACTAAAATACTTCAAACAAAGGCCATGCTGACGGTGTATGTGGTGGGCTTCTTCGTGTATTGCTGCTTTGGAGCCTGGAAGTTACCTTCCTGGAGCTCCAACGATCGCAGCGAGTTGGTGCCTTGTCGATTGTGGGGCTTTGATGGACTTTGGATCGTCGAGGGGTGGGATGGAATGACCGAATCTCTGCCTCAAGTCTTCAAGGCGTCCAGAAGGGTTCCTCTCGGCAAGAAATTAAGCAGGCTTAGGTTTTTGTATAGATTCTTGCCCATCCCCTATATCTTGTGGCCGGCCTCACCCGTTCTCGTCAATCTGGTTGTTTCCTTCAATGGTCCAAGTCTGCCCCTTGTTTTGCCCTGCTTTGCTATTTTGCTGGTGGGACTGGGATCGTCAAAGTCCTCTGCTTAGCAAAAAAGGAGGCATGCGAATGGGCTATCAGATATGACATCAATGTACGATCCTGGCAGACATGTAGCGTAGAGCTTGGGTGCCTGAACGACGCTTGTTTGCTCGCAAACGCCACAAGCAAAGCTGCCACTTTGGCTTCATCATGAGGTTTTTGTTTGGCTTATATAAGTAGCTTGCCCCAAATCCTCGACTGCAAGGTGAAAGCCTTCCTCTTTTTGATCGGCAAGTTCCGCTTGGATGTTTGGTGGTTTGGGCTGCTCTTGCTCCTGGGCACATCGGCCAAGGCCGCAGTGAGTCCAGATCCGGTGGCCCTATGGTTTCGGGATTTGGGAGAGAAAAGCCTTGAAGACAGGTGAACGTGTCAAAATGGTGTGAACTTGACAAATACAGTGCATGCTTTTGAGTCCTCTGAGTTTGTCTCTTTCACCCTACCAACACCATTGACTCTCCTGATTGGTGTCCTTTTTCGGTCGATGAACGGATGGCATCGACCGCCGCTGACCGCCCCTCGATGCCCCCCGAACGGGTGCTGACACCGAGGCTGATTCGCGGCTTGGGTTTCAGCTTGGCCATTGTGCTCGCAACGGACTCGCCACAATTGTGGCCTGGACGCTTTAGGTTTGAGTAGACGTGGTGCCAGGGTTTGCCTTCAGGAAGAGCAGATGGAAACATCCATTGACATCCAAGTGTTCGCTGTTCTGACCCTGTTTTTGCCACAGATCTCATTTGTCAGCGAACCTCGCCGACAGGGCTTTGGAGCAATATGGAGGTCCTCCATTATGTCCATTATGATACACAAATGAGAGAAATGGCATCGGTTCAGGTGTCCTTGAGCAAGGAGTGTTTTCGGCCACCGAACCTTCTCGCGTTACGGACCTTTGTGTAAGCAGTTGGGTCTTTCGCATCTACACCAACGACCATGACAGCGATTTGATCAAAGGACCATGCATACTTGTCCTTCTCACTTCTGTTTTTCCTGTTTTGTTAGGCAGGTGGCATCGCCAGCATCCTCACGTCCTTCTACCTCTTCGTCCTGACCTTCGTGCGACCCTGGAAGGCCCCGATCATCAACGTGGCGGACATTGCCTTGTGCCACTGGGGCGACCACGTGTGCCCCCCCCCCGTCGGCAGTCACGGTGCATGTGACAATGGTGGGGTTTGTGGGATGAATGACGAACAAGTTCTGATCAAGATAAAAGGAAGATGCTTCTATGATAGAGGCGGCCTCTGGATGCTTCTGGATAAGATTGGACATCTGTGTGGGGTAGATTGCATTAGGGATAACAAGTTGCGAACCGCCAACGCTGGCGCAGACAACAACGATAAAAAGCAAAGTCCAAACCAAAAATCAACATTACGTGGAACAGATAAGCAACATAAACACAAACACAATGTTCATAATCTTCTTGGTGGGGTGTACCTGAAATGGAAGGGTTTCTGCACATATTTTTTTTTCTCCATATTTTTTAAGTTGTGGTTTGATCCCTCTTTCCTTGGGTTGGGTGCTGCCTTTCCTTAGTTGGCATTTCAATCACAACAAAAACAGTAGGCCCTGTGACCTCTCAAATTCTGCATCGAGACGTCAGCCGAGGCAATATCCTCATTCTGTTGATCAATCAAGCGGTTCATCCTGACAGCCCTGTGGACCTCCAGTTTGCCGAGGGCTTTTCCACGGTGATCCTGGGCAGAGAGGTTGCGGTTGCGGGTTGGGTTTTTGAGAGCGACTTCGGAGGTCGTCAAATATGGTTGTGAAGGACTCAACCTCCCCACCAAACCATGGAATATTGACATCCCCAATAGAGTCAATAGAGGAGTCGAATCCTTTTCGGTGGTCTGGCCCAGGTCTCCCTGATTTGACCCACTGCCTTGCTTCTCTCATGGCCCACTTCCTGCAACCCCCCCAATCCAAGATCGGATGCGCTCTTTCTTCTCCAAGGGAAAAGGTTACAATGCATGGAATCCGTTTCCCAAAAGGAAGAGCAAGAAGTGCAAGACCCAACCACGCCCTTGCTATGGATTCTTTCTGCGCAAACCGGGCTGTCGCATTTTTGTTGTCCTTTCTTGGCTGTTTGTATCTGTTGCCGTGTCTCGAAGAGACCCGAGGATGGCGGTTTTGCTGATTATGGTCTTGGTTGTGACCGGGATGACGTGCATCCTGGCACTGGTTCTTGGTCGTCTCGTTGGCGGAGGACAGCGGGGAAACATGCAGGGAGGACATCCCCAGCTGCTCGCGGTGTTGGGTTTTGATTGGTCAATATGGAACAAGGGTCAAGAGTCAAGAGTTAGAAACCCAGAGTACTCGGGAGCAAGCTCTCCAGGATTTGCTCTTGAGAAAGAATTGGAAACCAAGACAAAATCAAAGGAATCTCAAAGCGAACAATGGAAATCAACAACAACAAAAGTGGTGAATGCAAAAGAGTGGAAAGGACCTTGTGTAATGCCGATTCGTGCAAACAAAAAGCACACATGTACAGTAAATTAATGGCGAATCAATGGAATCAGCCCAGAGTCTTCAGATTTCAAGATTTTCTTTTGGTGGTGGTGGTGGTCTCAGTGGTCTCAGCTTGTAGTCGTTGAAAGCAAGTAAGAGTGAAGGGGGATGGGAAGGACTTTGTCCAAACCAGTCATGACAGTGATGATCCAAGATTGTTTCCGACTCTTTTCCTTTTCCAAGTAAAAATGCGGCGTGGATGATTGGTGGGACAAGCTGGTGAGGAGAGGCTCTACTGAATCTTGCCAGAGACGGAAGTGAACGTAAGAAGATTGCGAAGGCACTGTGACTTGCCCAAACATTTGGGTTGCCACCGGGGCTCAAACTCTGACCGAAAAAGCTCGAACTGCCTGGTCAGGTAGACATGGCTTGGGCAGGGTTGGTTTCCAGTGTCCGAATTCGTTTCGACTGCCGAGAAAGCATCCTCATTGGCTGCCGAGGAAGGAATGTACCCGGGTACTCTTGGAAGTTGAAGAGAGGGATCTTGCGGAGGACGTTTCACCCTTAAAGTCAACCTAGAAGTGGAACATTGCTCCATCCAGACGTTTTCCTCCACTCAGTCTGGTATGATCAAATTCGATTAAGTGAGGATGTTTTTCTCTGGTTTTGATCTTTTTCGCATATGCACATGGCGCAGATCCAGTGCCAAATTCTCGGGTGGTTTTCTGAAGCCATGCACATGATGCTGCTGAGTCATGCCGTGATCAAATTTGAGAGGATCTGCGTTCGATGAACATCTACGGCCTGAAAGCCCTCAAGGCCGCCATCTCCGCAGTCTTCGTAGTAGCTTGGCATTGATTTTGTCCAGACCACATCGAGACCCTCATGTTGGGTCCTCCAAAACGGTCCCGAGGACGTCCTTTTCAGTCGTCCTTCGGAGTCCGTCTGGTTGATGTTTTGGGTGGATCGCGCGATGGCATCCACACGGTGTGGCGGCCTCGGAGGGCGTGGGCAGGGAATTTCATCCATAGGATCATGTGAAGGGAAGGAGATTTTGGTGGTACTGAACTCCATGGGCTTTGGTGTTTGGTGCTGTTGGATTTTCCACCTCCAGATGTTCTTTATCCCGACTGCGCTCCAGAGTTGGAAGCTCCCAAGTGCTGGAAGAAGCTCCGGTTTCGTTCCCCACATTTTGCGGGGACACCACGTGGCCAAAATATCCCTCTATTTGCTGGGCGGGTTTCCATTTGTTGGGGATGGCTGAAATCTCTTGGGTCGAGCTCTTGGGTCGCGTTTGCGACTGCTGAAGAAACCACTCGTGCGTCGTGCAGTCCGTCAGGATGTGCTTGAGAGACGATCGAACCTGGTGCCACGTGTGGCCGTCAGCTCACAGGGGAACACGAGCTTCGGCAGCATTCGGACGGGTTCTTTTGGACGGTCCGTGTGGGAGCGGTCCGGATTCGAACACCGGTGAGGCGCTGGTCGACTCTAGCGACCTGGAGCGTGATCTACCTTTTAAGCGATCTTGAAATGGACTTAAAAAGGTTGGAATCCATTTCTGGAATCATTTTTGGTGGAAATTCCATGTGGTCTCTTTGTTTTGAGAAAAAACCATCGATCACCTGATCGACCAGCTGCTTGCGACAACGGCTTCCAGGGTCTGAAGCTGATTTTGGACGGATCCAAATGCGGTCCAATCCCAATGTCCAGAAATCCGGAAGCAGTTCATTTGAACCTCGGTTCTGACCAGGATTTTCGCCATGCTGAACCGCCAATTGGGAAAGAGCTTGGAGATTCTCCCCCGAAACACTATGGATTCCGTGGATCTTGTTTTCTTTGGCGAAGAGCCATTTCTTTGCTCTTACTCCCACACCCACCGTCTTCTCTTCCCTCCAACTCACCGTTTTGGCCAAAGACATCCAGCACCGGACTCCGGTGGAAAGCGCCTCCTCACCGGACTCCGTTCCACCTTCGCCGAACGACGAAGGCTTCACTCCAATGCTTCGACGGTGGCGGCCGGGCTGCTCGCGGCGCCTGCCTCTCGGGCTAAGCAGGGACGACGCACGCGGAGAAGCGAAGCCGAAGCGGAGCCGGGTTCCGGAGCCGTGGGACACAAGGGATTGTTGTTGGAAGCTGGAGCCACTGAGCCACTCGAACGGCCCGAGAAAGGACTCTACAGAACCAGGGTTTTCAAGGTTGTCGGTGCACACGGTGTGCCGGTTTCAAGGTGATTGTGGACCGGACCCTGTAAGGGTCCCTGACCCACCCAACTCCCAAGTCCAGCGAGAACTGAAGCGATGGGTAGACCCGAGTCCAGCCGGTGCGGCCAAACAGGGCACCTGTGCAGGAGTTTTGCGAACATCTCCAGGTTGGCAAAATTATATATATTCAGTTTCAGAGGGCGCGCAGTTTTTGGTCCAGCTTTGTGAGCCATCCATATCTCTCGAAGACTTGCTTTGAAACTTTCAAAGGTCGGACGACAGTTCTAAATAAGAACTGGAAAGAAGTTCTAGTTTTTGCCCAACGCCTTGGATCTGACAGGCGGCAGCTGTGGATACAGCCACACCTTCGGCTGTGAAGACGGAGGTGTGCTGCATTTTTTGAATGGATGGCAAGAAAAACAAGATCAGAGAATGGGATAGCGAGGAACGCACGTCCGGAACGCACAGGTACAAAGGTGCTACAGCACTTTTTCAGTCAGGTCAGCCATACAAGTATCCCAGTGGTCGGGGGCATCCCCTTTAAACCTTGCAGATACCGTCAGATACCCTCCTTTTGCGGCCTGTGAATCCTCCCAGCTAGGGTACGGGTACTTGTCCAGCCATGTCTCCACAGTATTGACGTTCACGTTCAAAAAAGACCCTTCAGACCTCCTAACTTGCCCCAGGAGGACGCACCCAACGGGTTGAAGGCCCAGTCAGAGGCGGGTTCTGAGCGAGAACAAGCCGTCCACGTGGGTCGCGCGGACAGAGCGTCGACGACCGGCCTCCAGGAGATGGAAGACTCGGTTCAGTTGATCACCGACCCTGAGCAGCCTGAGCCCATTGTGGCAACCAACCTATAGACCGAAACTCTGAGCGGTGCACGGCACCGTCTCCTTTTTGTATTGATTCTCGAGCGACCTCGGGCGAGAGCCATTTTTTCCAGGCATGCGCGGACGGCGTCCTTATTGAACGGGGTCCTTATCGGTCCAATAATTAGCTGAAGCAGGCAGTGTTTCTCGAGGTTTTTCACACCTCTGGACGAAAGTCAAAGAGGAAAAAGAAAAGCACAGTGACAAAACTTGAAACCACTCACCCCACTTGGCGGAAACCCGTTGGGCGCTCCAGCGCTTGGATTCCAGCCGCTGATGCCATCTCCTGACGCTTTTGCTTTTGACAAAACAGCGAACAGGTGAGTCCACATCCGTCCCAAATCGAATGGCCGGGGCGAGGAGCAGTTGAATTAGGAGCAGTTGATGTTTTTGTTGGGAAGTGGATGGCCCGGCCAAGACTTCTTTTGGGGGCGTATGTGGTGAGCTCAGCTCTTTCTGGTGCAAGTCTTTAGCACCACACCCAGACTTTTTAATCTTACTGTAAATAGGAACTCCAGTCTTTTGGATTTTCCAAAAAGACTTTTTTTCAGAGCTCTGCTTGGATGCGCATGGTTATCCTTTCGAGGCTTGAGCATGGTGGCACAAGATCATGCCAATCCAAATTGTTAGATTATGTATGAGAGAGAGAGAGAGATCCCATGATTTACGCTTGCAAAAGCCAAGTGACCAGCATAAAGCCAGCATAAAGCGGAAGAAAAGCCACCATTTAATGCATGACGACTTCCAGTGCCACCTGCTTGGCCAAGCTATGCCTAGGATAGTACCAGTCGTGCAACAAACCATGGATGACTTTCAACCCATTACTCGGCGCTTCTCGAAGCTTTGAGAAGAAAGCCCGCCATGGTGGCCGTGAGAGGGGAAGTTCGTCTAAAACATGGTCCGTTTACTAGGAACTAGGGGCTCCTGGCATCGCTACTAGGAGCAAGACGTGGCCAAAACTTCCGACATGGAGTGCAACATCAACTTCCGCAAGTTGAGAGCATTTGCAGCAACTTGTGATTCCGAACACTGGGAAAGGGAGTGTTTCTTTGGTTTCGCGTGCTGAAGGATGAGACGCCAAGAAAGAACCTCAGGAGGAGAGGGTCTCCGGAGTTTCTCTGGTTCTTCCGATGTTCTTTTCCAGACCACCGGTCCGTGCCATCCAAAACCGGTCTCGTTCTCGATGCCGATCTCCTGTTCTTCCGACCGCGGCCGGCATGGTTCCGAGTATTTTTTTGGGGAAGGCGTAGGGGCTAGGGCCCGAAATGGGTCGAATCCACGGAGCTTCCTGTTCCTTGATTCATGATTCCACTGGTTTGACGCCTGAAAGCTTCGAGCTTGAGGCAACCAGCGTCAAAATAGACAGGGACAATCATCGAAGGATCAAGAAAAGGAAAGAGGTTTCCAAAGGCATCAACGTAGAGGTTCCCAACGAGATAGATAGATGGATAGATAGATGGATCGATAGATAGATAGATAGATAGATGGACAGATACCATTTGCATCCGACTCCTGTCCATTGGGCGCCCCTTTGGGGGGTAACCATTGGGCACCCCTTAGAAGTCTTGGTCTTTGACAAGTGTCTTTACGAAAGCCAGCCGATAGGCTAGGCTGAGGTGCTGGATGGGCGAACGAAGTGAGATGAATTAGGGGGTGTGGGGGGCGAGAGAAGTTTCGTCACATCATCACCAAACATTTGGCCGGAACCAACCTAGCGGAAAGCCGTCTGTGTTTGTTCACAACTTTCTCGAAGGGACAACACGTCCAATAAACAAAGCCTCTGTTCTTCAAGTTGGAGTCCCGAGGAATCAGTTCGAGCGATGAAGTACAAATGGTTTTTTCGCATGACACACACAATGCATCCACCAATTTTGGCAACAGATTCATCCGTCGTTTTGGAACTAATTACTGTAATGCCTTTTTGTTGTGGTGTATTTCATACCACAGTTGTCTCACCACTGTTCCCACACGACTGGGTTTTTGCGCAAGTCAATGACCTCGCTATTCGTTTGAATTTTCTCACACTATAAGACACTATAAGACACTGACCTGAAGGGTGTCAAGAGCCTTGCGATCTGTCAAAAGGTGACAGTTCCTCCTTGAGGTGACAGGTCAGCCCGACTGGCATGCGAATCATCGGTAAAGGTGAGAAATGGGAGTTCATGGATGTCTCGAGGAAACGTCAAACCAAGTTCTCAATCAACTCTTTGAAGACTACGCAACTTATTGGCGTGCAACAGATCTTGCACAGTAGCAGTGTTTTGATGTCCTTGTGAAATGGACGTTGAAGCTGGGATCCACTGCACCGTCTGTGTGCCTCGCCAAGCGACTTCCTGGGGGTCCTCGGAGAGCCTCTTTGATTTCTCATCGGCACTGGCCTTTGCTTCTGGAGATTGTTTTCTTTCACGATCAAGGGTCATTTAGCTAATTTCAAAAGCATCTCTCTCTTGTTTCAGTTATATTCGATCGTTTTTCTGATTGTGTTCACATCCACAGAAAACATCTGTCTCTTTCAAGGGATCTTTCCAAGATCCAAAGGAAAACAGTCTGCAATCTCCTTATACAGTCCTTATTGGGCACCTCATGTGTTTGATTTATAGATAGATAGGTAGATAGATGGATAAGTAGATAGGTAGATAGGTAGATAGATAGATAGACAGATAGATAGACAGAGAGATGGACAGACAGACAGATAGACAGATAGATAGGTAGGTAGGTAGATAGACGGATGGATGGATGGATGGATGGATAGATGGATAGGTAGGTAGGTAGATAGGTAGATAGGTAGGTACCCAGATAGGCAGATAGGTAGGTAGATCAGATAGATAAGCTTTTCAAATTTCAATCGTTTCTCAGAGGATTGAGAAAAAGGGGGAACAGAGTATTTCACCATGCCTAAAGCATCTCGTCTCAGGTGGGGGTGGGACGCCTGGTGCTTCCAAGGCGACTGGCATCCCAATGCGTCGGACACTGCCATTTGAAGCATTTTTGATGATGCTTAGTTTATGCAGCGGAAAACCAACAGTTCTCACCTTGTTAACTTTATGTGCGTTCTGGCTTTGACAACAGACAACTTTATATAATCGAGCACGTTGCCCCAAAAGTTTATATGAATGTTTGCTCGTACCGGCAGGTTCCTTTTCTCATGTTGACACTCTGAGAGGTGAGAGTAGTTTTGAGCCCTGCGGGCTCCATCCCAATTTGTAGATTTCGGTCTCTGGCGCTGGCTGATTTGGTGTCGTTTGTATGACGGAAAAGATGCTTGAGTGGGATGCGGTGAGATTTGGCGATTCATTGATCCCCTACGAAAAGCATGAGACAACAGTTGAAATTGGTTACGCATCAAGACTGTTCTGACATTGCGGAAGGATTCGCTGATGCAAAATTTGAGCATGAACTGAAAAGCCAGCCCGAGCCTGATGCGACTGCCATCAAGGCGATGCACCGGATTGCTGAATAAAAAACTGACTTTGCAGGTTTGGAACAATCTTGCAAGTATCGGACAAGTACAATTGGAATGGCCAAAGTTGAGTCTTGATTTGCCAGACGAATTTGCAACACAAAATGAACGGACATCAACGGTCGTCAAAGGCAAATGTAGGTTTTGCCGAACACAACCGTCCACGAGACCGTCCCTTGCCGTGTTCCACACTGGACACCTGGTCTTGATCGCAACCGGGCCTTGAAACCTCGGACCTTGGACATCGCGTTTTGATTGGTTGGTAGGCCTGGTAGGCCTGGAAGGCTTGGCTCAAGTCGGTTTCAGCGAACGAAGTGAGGTGGGGGGGGGAGAGCCAAATGAGTATACACTAGTATATATAGACCCTTTTTTTTCCTTGTTTGTGTCAGGATCTGCGGGGAACTCTCAGGAAAAGCGCTTGTTGAGGAGGCCAGTTTTTGAAAGTTGGTGATGCAGAAAATTATACCAAACAAATGAGCATCACCGGAACGAAAACCAGTAGAATTGAGTGAGAAACTCGTGGTTGTAAGGTAAGTGATGGAGGGTTAAGCTGCAATCACTCCAGTCCATTTTGTTTCACCAGGTGATTCCCCTATACAGCAGTGATCCGCTAGCATGCACACGGGTCGCTTGCAGGCTTTGGTCGCAGTGTTTGTGATGAAGAAATACGCCAAAATAGTCCAAACAGCTGTGTTCATGGACACTGTGCTGTATTTGTGCTTTGTGACAGTTCCCTCACAACCAGGACCTGCGTACGAGAAATTCTACTGGCTTTTTGTTCTTCCTCTTTCAGTTTTTTGCATTCTGGAGTTGTTTCTGATCTTGTCGCAATGCGTCTACCCTATTCATCTTCCTTTCGAGAGAAACGGATGGCATTTGTTTTCGAGACCCTCGTGAGCTTTCCCATCCAAGTCCTTATCGGGTCAGTCATACCGTGTATTTGTTTAAGAGTGGAAACTGCACATACTTGCACCTTGTGTTCTTTTTCATTGCCAAGTCTTGAAACATCCCTTCCGGAGGTTTGGGAAACTGTTTATGCCTGCGCACAATTAAGAGAGATCTGATCTTCATGTTTGGGCCATCAACTCCACAGTAGTGCATGCCACCGCTATATATTTGTTGCTGCATGGCTTTAATATATATATATATATGTTAAGCATTTTTGCATCAACTCTTCTTGGTGGTGTTTCGGTCCAAAACCCAGCATGACGCTTGTCATGCAGCGTGCAAAATGAAGTGGGCTACATGTCCAACTTGAGGACGCCCAGCCGTCGGGGCGTAGGGATCGCTGTCGGGGAGGGTTGGATCGCCCAGGGTTTTCGGATCGAGGTCACCGGAAAAGACGGAGTCTTTTTGGGTGCCAACCTTCCTGAGTTGATTAGGGGACACACCAAAAATATGTAAACAACTTTCAACCATCCTTGCCAACCTTGAAATCTTTGCGAAGGATGGCACGAGCGTTGGCATCCTTTGCTGCCGTGTCTCGGAATTGTCAATTATTTTTGCCTGTTTTGCGTCAACTCACGCAAGCTGCAGGCTCCGGAGGTTCCCAGTTGCCTGTTCTTGTGTACCATGCTGAGGTGCTCATAGCATGTGAAGCAGTCAAATCAAGTTCTCGCCGATGACTCAGTTGATTTGACAGATTCACTTGATGTTTGACTGTTTGTAGTCGCGATCAAAAAACAACCCTACTTGATCTTTTAAACGTTTGAATTGCTCCGTTTTGTTGCATCTTGTCCTGTCCCAACTCCCGTTCCTTTTTAGGAGCTGGGACTTTAAGCTATGCAAATGCTGCAGGCAATGGCAAATACATTTTGAGGTTCATTGTCGTTGGACACTTGCGCAAGTTCGTGTCGCTTGGGGAATTACGGCATGCAATGGTGTCCAGTAGTATCTGGTGCCCCGGTCGTGTTGTGATGGTGTCCCGGTCATGTTGTGACGGTGTCCCGGTCATATTTTGATGGTGTCCCAGTCATGTTTTGATGGCGTCCCGGTCATGTTGTGATGGTGTCATGTTTTGATTGTGTCCCAGTCATGTTGTGATGGTGTCCCGGTCATGTTGTGATGGTGTCCCGGTAATGTGATGGTGTCCAAGGAAGAGATGGTCGATGTGTTGAAAGCAGCAACTGTTTCCAGATGTTGCTTTTTGTCCCGGTTTGTATCTTGCTATTGGGGTCTCCAGCTGGGCTAATTTCAATTTGCACATGGCAGGCAGCCCCATTGTAAAAGCTGTGGAGATGTTGGAGGATCTTCAGGCCACCCGCCGCGTAAAGCCAGAAACACGATCATAGAAACATGATGATCTCCTGTAGGAATAGATTTGTTGACATCCTCAAGTGTTCCGGGCACATTTCGTGAGCAAGATGTTTCGGCTGTGGCATTCGAGGAGTCCTCGAGGGACTCCACATGCATTCGAGGAGTCCTCGAGGGACTCCACATGTGTTCTTCGAGTTATCATGGAAAAGGTGAAATGTGGCTGAAGTTTGCATCTTGGGTGCTGCTGCCAAAAAATTGGCATTTGAATGGTTGGGTCCGGGGTTTTGTTGTTGCATTGGACAGTTGTCCTGCCAAGTTTTTGGCCAAGTTGTTCCTGACGTGTAACCTCTTTATCTCAAGCAAACCAGTGGCGGTTGAAGGGCACGATTCTTCACCACTTCACCAGGTTTTTTCCTCAAAAGACACCTTTTCGGAACAAACCACTTGTTTGAAACATGTTTTTGGAGACCTCTACAGACCACTTCCACCATTCTTGGGACCTCCACTCCGTCTCCTGAGTCACCTCGCCAGACCAAAATCACCGACGCAGCCAAGCAGGAGCAAGACTCGTGCGCCACGTTTTAATCTGACACCGTTTAAGAAACAGATGGACTCGTGCCAACGAATCAAATCTCGTTGAAACTTCTCTCTACAATGAGCTGCTTATCTACAGCTTAAACATCGGAAAGATGTGGGTGCATCTCAAAGGATGAAGACTCCCAAAAGACCTTGGGAAATTTGAAAGGATAGACCGCAACCCAGTTTCATTGCACATACATTTAGGAAACGTTTCGCAGACAGCCTCCAAAATTTGCAGCACCTTTGCAGCTCGTTCCCGCAGCTTGCGGCACAAACGCCACTAACTTGTCTGGCGCAGAGACTGGCCCAGCCAGCATGTGTTGTTTTTGATTTTTTTTAGTATGTATTCAGAGAGATGTTTCTGAACTGGACATGGACGTCAATGTCAGACACAAGAATCATAAACACGGCTGTGCAAACTGTTCTCTTTTCTTGAAACGTTCTATATAATTAGACTGTTTTCATTTTTTTTGCATTAATCGATTATGTTGCCAGACCATTTTTTCAAGACGTAACCCAAAACAGCTCAATGAGCTCTGTACCTGTACAATGTGCCAGGCATCAGTATGTCTACAACGTTTACACCGGTCGAGTCTGGCATAGGAGGCTGAAATGTATGTTTGCGTGTGAGAGAGGTTGCTAGCTTCATCAGTTCTGCAGAAGAGGGTTGCATGTACCGTAAAAGGTAGGTATTCACATCTGAATGGTGGATTTGTATGCATCCACAATGAGAATTCATTTATACAATCTGTATTGCGAAAGCCAGCCGATAGGCCTCGATGGGTGAACGAAGTGAGTAATAGGGGTGTGGGTCGGGGTGGTTGTAAATCTGGCCCGGTTGGGTAGGGTGAAGCAGAGAGGGTCACAAAAAGGTCTTGAACATGTGTGTTTTTTACGGGTCTGGTGATGCTATTGACCAGGGATGGGAGTTTTGGGTAGAGGACAGGAAAGGGGAGACTGCGTGACAGGAAATGCAACAAACAAGGTCACCACACACTGAGGGAGGTGACCAGGCTCACCAGGTGTATCCATCCACTCTGTGCAAGCAAGAGTCTTTAAGCTCTAAATTCTCATAGAGAGAGCGTTCGGACAACTCAGGAGGACAGGAGAGGAAAGAGGCAGGAGCTTCTGAGTTTCTTGGGGGTGCCCTTTTGTATTGTGAAAAAGGGCTGTTTGCGGGAAGAAAAAGGGCACCCCCCAGAGTTATGTACGGATCCAAGTCTATCCTACGACTAGTATCAGCGGAAGGGAGTTGATCTAGGCGTTGTGCATATAGGCTCGATCATATCGAGCCTCAATGCGAAACTTTGCGTCTCTTTGCCTTCTGTTTTCCCTTGCCTAATAAGAGTAGAAGTAACTGCAAACTCGACTTCGCCCTATGAGAACAAGACTATATTCACCAAAAAGGATGGGAACCATACTGCACTTGTCCAGGATCTCACGAAACCGTCACGAGTTGTGGACATGTCCACTAATGATGTCGTGTCTGTTTTGCTTTTCTGCCTTTCGCCGCCCACCTCACCACAACAGTCCACGCCGAAGCGGGTGCCAAAATGCAACCTTCGTGTTGAAGAAGCGTCTCCCGACCATGGCTGGCAGCTATTCGCCTGCGCAGGCGCACCCACTGGTTGACATGTTGCGCTGACCACCAAAACGGCCAGCCAGCCACAACCTCCGTGGTCACAACTTTGGATCGATCGAGAAGGCATCACTGGGTCTCACTCCCAGCTTTCTTGGGAACATGCCCACCAGAATGGTGAGCCTGGCTGAATATTCCTTGTGGTCACATTTTGAAAAATGACCACGCAAGTTCAAACAGCATCGCGAAATTGCAACATGAGATGCTACGTGTCTAGAAATCGTATTGCGCATGCCTGACCGCTATCGTATTGCGCATGCCTGACCGCTCTCTTCAAATTCTCATTTAAGCTTTGGTCGCCTTTCGGAAATATGGCCACGAGCGTTGGCCAGAGGCACAATCTCTGTGGTCAGAACTTTGTCTGGCCAACCTGTCTCGACATTCCTCCTGGAGCTACAACTGTGGCTGAAGATTAGAGAAAAGGAACCAGAGTGATGTAGAAATCAAAAGCGGACCATCCTATAGCCACTAATGTCAACCCCGGATTAATAAGCCCCCCCCCACCCCCCCCACATGGTAGGTCAACAAGGTCAAGATGATATGAGATTCCATTCATCAGGTCCCCTCCCCCTGAATTATCTGCTCAGGGAGCAATCGTAGTCGCAGCCGTTGACGGTAGTAGGTAGTAGGTAGTAGGTAGTAGGTAAAGGTAGGTGGTAGGTAGTAGGTAAAGGTACTAGGTAGTAGGTAGTAGGTAAAAGGTAGTAGGTAGTAGGTAGTAGGTAAAGGTAGTAGGTAGTAGGTAGTAGGTAGTAGGCAGTAGGTAGTAGGTAGTAGGCAGTAGGTAGTAGGTAGTAGGGTAGTAGGTAGTAGGTAGTAGGTAGTAGGGTAGTAGGCAGTAGGCAGTAGGTAGTAGGTAGTAGGTAGTAGGTAGTATGTAGTAGGTAAAGGTAGGTAGTAGGTAGTAGGTAGTAGGTAAAGGTAGTAGGTAGTAGGTAGTGGGTAATAGGTAGTAGGTAGTAGGTGAAGGCAGCAGGCAGCAGGCAGCAGGGAGTAGGCAGCAGGCAGCAGGCAGTAGGTAGTAGATAGTGGGCAGTAGGTAGTAGATAGTGGGCAGTAGGTAGTAGGTAGTAGGTAGTAGTTGTAGTAGTTGTAGTGGTGGTAGTAGTAGTAGTAGTAGAAGCAGTAGGAGCCGCAGCTGCAGTAGTAGTGGTAGTGGTAGTCGCAGTAGCAGCAGCAGTGGTGGTAGTAGCAGTCACAACAAGTTTGAACAAGCGCAAAGAAAAGGCCAGGGACACAGGATCAAATTAATAGGGGGTAGTAGTGCAGATTGTTGATGAGGGACCGGCCCTTTGGTGATCTTGTCAAATGATTGTTTTTAATTGTTTTTAACAAGGCAATTTAGAGGCCCTGAGCCCTAGACATTTTTAAGGATTTCATCAAGCATCTATTATAGTAGGTGGTAGGTGGTGATGGTGGTGGTGGTGGTCGTGGTAGTAGCAGTAGCAGTAGCAGTAGCAGAGCAGTAGCAGTAAAAGTAGCAGCAGCAGCAGCAGGAGCAGTGGTGGTGGTGGTGGTGGTGGTGGCAGTAGTAGTAGTAGTAGTAGTAGTAGTAGTAGAGTAGTAGTAGTAGTAGTAGTAGTAATGTAGTAGTAGTAGTAGCAGTAGCAGTAGCAGTAGCAGTAGCAGTAGCAGTAGCAGTAGTAGTAGTAGTAGTAGCAGTAGTAGTAGTAGTAGTAGTGTAGTAAAGTAGTAGAGTAGCGTAGTAGTAGTAGTAGTAGCAGCAGTAGTCGTGGTAGTAGTAGAGTAGCGTAGTAGTAGTAGCAGCAGTAGTCGTGGTAGTAGTAGTAGTAGTAGTAGGAGTAGGAGTAGGAGGAGTAGGAGTAGGAGTAGGAAGTAGGAGCAGCAGCAACAGCAGCAGCAGCAGCAATAGCTAGTAGCAGTAGCAGTAGCAGTAGTAGCAGTAGCAGTAGTAGCAGTAGCAGTAGTGTTAGCAGCAGCAGCAGCAGCAGCAGCAGCAGCAGCAGCAGGAGGAGGAGGAGGAGTAGTAGTAGTAGTAGTAGTAGTAGTAGTAGTAGTAGTAGTAGTATTATAACGAACTAGACGACGGTGGGCCCGAAAGTGAGATATGTAATTGTCCAGCACTGTCGAAAAGATGTATAGAAAGAGAGAAAGAGAGGGTGTATGTGAAGGAGTGACAGTGTGGATGTGCAGGTGCGATATAGATCTGTAGCTGTATGGAGGTGGAGAGGTAGATCTGTGGATGGGAGCGTGCGAAGATGTAAATGCACAGAGACGAGAGAAAACATATGTAGAAAGAAAGAAAGACAGGACAGATGTGATGATGTGAAGGAGCGATAGTGTGGATATACAGATGTGATATAGATGTGAAGATGTGTGGGCGTGGTGAGGTAGATCTGCGGATGTGAGCGTGTGAAGATATAAATGTAGAGAGGTGTGGGGGTGTAGACGTAGATGTCCTGATGCAACGGCAGCGCAACGCCAACCTTAGTTGTGCAAGTGCAACGCTGAAGAGGTTCAATTAGAACTGAAGAACGTACATTTCACACTGAAGTTTCCACGAACAGGGCGACCTCAGAGTAAACGACGTCACGATCATGACAAGCGACTCGTGTATTCCAAGCGAACATCGTTTGTCATAAAAGTGAAGTACACACATACTAACGTCACGATGACTCTTTTGTGGCAGCCACTTACGAGTAAGCAAAGTATCTAAAATTTGTCAACCTCCCGGGTGGTCGGGAGACATGACTCAGCTGCAGGGGCGCCAGAGCAGCCACGAGAGATGACTCAGCCGCGAGAAATGACTCATCCGCGTACTAAAGTTCTACTACAAAGTCGCCAGTTCTCATCTTCCAGCTCCACAGTTTGCTCCGCGTACTAAAGTTGTACTAGAAAGTCGCCGGTTCTCGTCTTCCAGCTCCCCAGATACTCGGCGTACTAACGTTGTACTACAAAGTCGCCAGTTCTCAGCTTCCAGCTCCACAGATTGCTCCGCGTACTAAAGTTGTACTAGAAAGTCGCCAGTTCTCATCTTCCAGCTCCCCAGATACTCCGCGTACTAAAGTTGTACAACAAAGTCGCCAGTTCTCAGCTTCCAGCTCCATAGATTGCTCCGCGTACTAAAGTTATACTACAAAATCGCCAGTTCTCATCTTCCAGCTCCCCAGATACTCCGCGCGCTAAAGCTGTACTACAAAGTCGCCAGTTCTCCTCTTCTAGCTCCCCAGATACTCCGCGCACTAAAGTTGTACTACAAAGTCGCCAGTTCTCAGCTTCCAGCTCCACAGATTGCTCCGCGTACTGAAGTTGTACTACAAACTCGACACGCGCGATCTCCGCAGAGGGTTGCGCCGGACCGGCGCCCTCGACACGCACGATCTCCGCAGAGCATTGCGGCGGACCGGGCCAAATCGCGCTCTCGTCTGCATTTCGCGCCCTCGACACGCACGATCTCCGCAGAGGGTTGCGCCGGACAGAGCCAAATCGCGCTCTCGCCTGCATTTCGCGCCCTCGACACGCACGATCTCCGCAGAGGGTTGCGTTTCGTGGTGCTCCGGCGGCACGGCCCCCGGCCTTGAGAGAGAAAGTAAAGAAGAGCGAGAGGTGAAGATGTGAGATGTGAACATGAGCAGAGATGTAGATGTGTGAAGATGAAGATGAGCAGAGATGTCGATGTGAGGTGAGATGTGATCATGAGCAGAGATGTAGATGTGTGAAGATGAAGATGAGCAGAGATATCGATGTGAGGATGTGAAGATGAGCAGAGATGTAGATGTGCAGATGTGAATGTAGATGTGAAGATGAGCAGAAATATAGGTGAGGAGGTGGATGTGCAGAGGTGAAGATGTGAAGATGTAGATGAGACGTAATTTTGCAGATGTTTTTTTACGAAGAACCCTTCGCAGACGCTCTCGGGAAAAATTGACCTGGTTGTGGGCTCGGATTAACTGGGGGGGATTGTTGGTAGAAAACTAGACCATAGGGGGGGTCAACCAACAGCCAATAATATTTTTAATTTGGGCAATTTCCGGCGGCTTTGTGGGCTCGGGTTTTAGGGGGGGTTTATGAATCCTGACTCGACATTAATGGTGGATTGATCAAGGCCTTGTGTATATAGACCGTGTCAGATGGACCCTCAATGCGAAACTTTGCGCCTCTCTGCATTCTCTTTCCCCATGGCTAACAGCAGTAGAGGTCCGTGCAATGCCGACTTCACTTTATAACTTGTACATATATATATATATATATACAGTATATTCTTACAGCGGCCGGCTTTCGTCCCTTTTTTCTCAGGTATACAATGTATATACAATGTCTACACTAGCCTGTGCCGTTTTTCCCGAGGCTCAACTGGAGCTTCAACATATGAAGGGACGCTTTTTGACCACGTCGACCCCGTGGCGCGCTCCGTCAGGAGCCCTCATTGGTCTCTCTGCCTTTGTGGCATATCAAGCAGATGGCACCTGGGAGAACTGAAAAGCTGACAGGGTTGTTTTGGAAGATGGGAACTGAGGGTATTGGCATTATTGGCAACTGGAAAGTTGATCAACTTCTGTGGAAATCGTTTTGCTGAGTTTAGGCCCGCATTTTTTCACACGTTGGCATTGTCCATCAGGAAAGATCATTGGAATCAGTGGCATCTTGGGGCCCTTTCTTCGAAGCGAAGCTTGGTCGTGAAGGACCGACCGTGATGGGTGAATTCGCTCCATTGGGCCCCTGCGTTTTTGTGGAGTTTTTCGGTGGATGGATTTTGGTCACTGGATTTTTTCCGGAGATTCTTCGCCGACTTTAGCCTGGTTGCTAGTTGAGGCCATGTAAGTCTTCCCTAAAAATCTAGGAACCACATGAACGTGCGAGTGCTTCTTCAAGGAAACTCCCCCTGTCCTCAAGGAGGGGGAACTTCCTTGAAGAAACGTGAGCTATCCTGCATTCATCTTGCCCTTACTTAATCAAGTAGGCGCCTACTTAATCAAGTAAGAGTGAGGGCACTGGGCCCAAAAAAGTAAACATTGTGAAGCATGCAGCGAAGCATGCGCATCTGCCGCATTCGTTTCGTCATCTTGCATTTTGGCTGCCCAAGGTGGTGAAATGTGAGCTTGGGAACGAGCTGTGGAAGCTGTGGTTTTTGGTTGGCCTGTTTGCTGGAGGCAGGTGATGGGGCGAATATGCTTGTTTGTCAAGTACAAACTGAGAAGTTTCGGCTGTGCTTCCTGCAGCCTAAAGGGAGTCTTCACGTCCATTCCGCACACCGATTCGAAGCCCCTTGAGTGTCAATGGGACATCCTTCTTACCAGCAGAGGGTCTGACGGTCTTGAGATGGGGTGCCACTGGCAGCACATACATCATCATACATCCAGATCCATCCTGTCAGGTTTCGTCAATTTCCTCTTCAATCAACCCTTTGCCTTCCCGGGAGCTGAGCCCTATTCCATCTCACGCTACGCTGTAGCGGGGCTGGTGCTGGGCCTGGGCACTCGATTTCAAAGGCACCGGTCGTCACGGATTCAGAGACCTCACACGATCTTGCACTTGAGCAAAGCAGATTTGTTTGCCTTCCCCACAGCAATCCAGATTTTGTTGTCCCAAGAGTGTATGAGATACGATGTTTTTGTCATTGGAACCAGAATGCCATTGAGTGCTTCCGACAAAGACAAACACCATGGCACTTGAGTATTTTAATCTGTACTTTGCGGTCATGAGATGCATCTTTACATCTCGCTCTGCTTGCAGGGGTTGCACCTCTGGACATGGCATTTGTGGCCTACCACGTTTCAGCATGCGCAGTTTGCTGGCGGTGCCAACCTTTATGTTATTTGCAGGTTGCCGGGAGACCTGGCTTCGGATGTGAGGAAGTGATCAAGTCACAAACGGCTGTTTTGACTTTGCAAGTTGTCCACACCGCATCTTGCCAGTGGTGGTCTACATGACCCGACACGTGATGAAGCTGGACCAGCCAAAGATGCCTGGCATTGCTTCATTGGAATGGCCTCCAAGGTGCAAGCTTTACGTGGTTTCGGTGTTTCTTCCTTCATCTCGAAAAAGATTTCATCAGACATCAGTGCACAGTGCGTCCAGCTCTCTAGTACACTGCGTTTGTTGGCCAAAATCAACCAGTCTCTACGAACAAATAACATCATAGCCACCATATTTTGCAGGGACATAGATGCCAGCCAACAGTGCCATGCTAGTTGTGCTTCGCCAGGCTGCAATTTCCCGCTTGTGCGGTTGCCGCTGCGGTGGTGCTCACCGTGCTATCCTTCTCGCCGTTGCCCAGCAGTGTGCATGGTGTGATCTCCCCGCTGGCCGGAAGTTGCACAAAAGATATGCAATAGGTGCACCCCACCCAGGAACCGTCCAAGAACAATCACTATTTAAGCAGAGGCCCTTTCCTTAACCTTCACTAGCGACTCTTGTTTCGAGACAAGCTAAAGTATAGAGGAATCCTCATCATATTGTCCAGAAAGCACAAGTTCCTACCATTCTCTTTTGTCACAGTTGCTTCATCTCTTGGAGGATCATTGACTGCTGGAACCGTGTTTCTCTGAACACTGAAAAGGCATCTGGCACGATCTTCGGTTTGGGCCTGGGAGTGGCTGGAATGACCAATCAGGCAGGTTTTTTTTGGGACGACTTCCATCCCAGTCCACTTCCAGCAGCTGCCTGGCCGCACTTTCACGACTTCGGGCAGGAGAAGGTGCTGAATTTTCTGGATGTGGCCGGCTTCTGGGATCCATCGCTGATGTTTGTCATGGGATGTGGCATGATGGTGTCCTTTCCGGCCTTCTACCTGGCGGAGCGCTTCAAGCGTCGCTGTGTCCTTTTCAACCACGGCCTTGCCGTGGTCCTTTTCGGCTGGCGCTGGCCGTGTTTCAGCTGCTGGTGTTCGGTGTTTTGAGTGTGTTTCAGTTGAAGTAGTTGAAGGTATTCCCCGACTCACTTGGGAATGGATTTGGATGGCATCTATAAAGAGAGGGGGTTTAGTGAGTGGGAGTGTAGGATGTCTGTATGATAGAGAGACTAGAGGGAGGAAGAGACGTGCTATCGGAGTATCGTTGTTTCCTGTCCTTGCAGGAGTCAGATGACGCAAAGCCAAAGTGTGCTGAGAAATTTGAAAAGCCTGGCAAAACTGGCGACTATGCAGCTTTGTATGCAACTAACCATCATAGGACAAAGAAGCAAAAAGCACACACCTTTTAATGCACCAGTAAACATGCGGTACTGGCGAGTCACAATTTCCTTGGAACCAAGGGAACTTTGGTCGTGGGGGCCGTGCTTTTCGGCATTGGCTGGGGTCTGGTGGGCATTTGCCCCGGTCCTGGCCTTGCAGGTGTTGCACCTTGGAATTAAGGTTCAGCACGTCCGAACGAGAAGAATGGAGACAAGGTCTGAGAAAACCAGGGTAGCAACTCTTCTCGCATGAGCCCTTTGAGTCTGCATTGTGAGCTCTTTTGCATTGTGAGCTCATCGTTTGGTCAATGTAAAGGTTTGTCGGTCCAAAGCTGGTCGAAGTCGGCCCTGAGGTGCCGAACCTGGTTACTTCTGATGGAGGCAGTGATGCCGTGATCTCTGACTTCGTTGCACAGACTTCGTCCTTGGTTTCCTTGATTCCGATGCTTTGGTTTCCTTCCTCCTCGATTTTCCTCGATTTGCTTCGTTTTTCTGTTCGACTCCAGGCTCTGGCGGCTATGGCTTTGCCCTTTGTACACTACTGACGGCGGTCATTTGGGTGTCCTGGCACCACCGTTCCGTTCGCTTGGATGATGTGTTTTGTTGGGCAAATTCTGTTTTGGGCCACAGAACAGTTGCGTTGCAACGGCTTGTGGAAGGGGTGTTGAGACGTTTGGCTGTGTGGAAGGTGGCCACAGATCGAGCACTCGGCCTCAGTGGAGGGAGAGAGATGAAACACAAACACTGTAGAACCGGGACCAAAGAGGCGATGATTTCAGTGACAAAACACTTGCCAAACACAGCAAAAAAACATGCAAAATGTGCAGTGAAAGCATTGACTTGGTAGACTTGCTTCAACTTATTATTTCCTGGTCACCTAGGGCTTGCAGACGGCCGGACCTGCCCCATCAGCTTCAGACCAAAAGCCCCTGCTTCACAAATGATCAGGGCAATCCTAAGCCAGCGCGAAGGAGGCGGATGATCGGTGCCACTTTGGTCTTGGCGCCACCGCCATGGTCCTGCTGAAATAATTTGAGGCAGGAGTCACCGTCGAGACATATCTATATATGTATTGGGTCTGTCCTGTTACCTGTCACAAGGCCTTTCTTAGCCATCATCATCCACTATTACTATAAAAGGATAGACCCAATCTATGCAATATCTATGTTTTTGTTGAAGTGTTGGTTGTTCCCAAGACATGCTCCAGGAATCCTGCATTAAATGGAGTGGCATTTGCTCTTCAGCCGTGCACTTCTGTAGCCTGCAACCGCTATTTGCTGTGCCAAGCTTTCAGAATTTGGTCAGAAAGGCAGCATTATGTTGACACGAACCACGTGAAAAGCATTTACACGTCAAGAAACTATACTTGCAAAACAAAGGCATGGGTGCTGTTGTGGCGAAAGCAGATAGTCCGATGCTGCTGATAGGGCAATTGTTAGCTGCTAGCCTTTAGATGCAAAAGCACAGGGCGCCACAAAAAGTTGCGTGTAGCGTGTTCTGGGCGCGTCTTTAAATGGGCCGGGCAGGTCATGCCCATTCACCTGAGGATTTGCACATCTATTGCACGTACTGTATCTCGCAGTTCGCTGGTACCAAGGCGCTGACCTAAATCTGCTTCCTGAGCTTATAGCTCATTCTAGCTCAAGGTCTCCCAAAGCTGGGGCCTTCATTCTGACATTGGCAGCAAAGGAACGCTTGAGACTGCAGCAGCCTTTTTCTTATCATTTATATAATGCTTGCTAGTCAAGACATGTTTGTATTTGTTTACACAATGGTATAATCTGTGTTGATGCTGGAGGAAAGCGCACCCTGTTTGGATCAAACTAACTCATCCATGGGCGAGTGTGCTCGCTGCCATGTGGATGGCTATCGGAACAATGAGGCCAGAAGGGATGATCAAAGCCCAAGGACAACACAAGCTTGAGCCAAGCCATCGCATTGAACTTGCAAAGCTGCAAACTTGTCGGACTTCTTGGTTTGTTGATGCCGAGGTTCGCATGTACTTTTCAGGGTGCTGCGACTGTTGCCTTTGCAGCCGCTGTTTGCCGTGGGCCAAAGCCGGTGTGGCCTGCCCAGGGTGTGGCACTCGCATCAGGCGAGTGCGTCACAGTGAAATGATTCATTGATTCAAGTGATTTGAGTCGACTGCCCTTCCTCCAGGGCAGAGGACTTCTCTTGCGATTCTCGGGCCAGCCGAGAGGTGGACAGAGAAATGAAGGCACCAGACGTGGGACAAATGCAGGATCTGTTTCAGCAGCATGTGCAGCATCATGTGGCATCAATGATGGACATCGTCAATGACGGTTTCGGCTTAACCGTTTCGGTTCAGCAGTTGTTGAACTCTGGAAACACTTCTGCAGAACAGAGAGAAAAGTCGATGCTTGCATGCCAGTGTAACACTTCCCATTTTTTGTGTGTCAGAGGCATTTAATCTTCCCCCTACTGATCATCACTTCCTCTCATGTTTTCTCGGTTTGGATGAGAGTGGATTCCTGGATATAAGCTAAGTTTCCCTAAACATCTAGAAACCAAGCCATTCGTGCGAGCGCTTCTTCAAGGAAGCTTCCCCCGCCGCCTTTAGGGCAGCGGGGGGAGCTTCCTTGAAGAAGCGTGAGCTATGCTGCGTCCATACTAGTAGCTACTTAAGCCACTAGCTACCTCAGTTCCGGCGCCTACCCAATTAAGTAGGGAGGGGGAGGGAGCGGGCGAAAGAAAAGCCGCGCCGTGCCGCCACCCATCAGGTCCGGCGGCAGATCAAGCAGGTCTACTGTAAGACGGAGCGAGACTTCGCCTCGTCGGAGAAGTGGGACGAGTGCGCCGAGCCGTTCAACCGTCAAAGCCCGAAATGGTCAGCGAAGTCTACACGTTGTTTGGCAAAATGCATCGTAAGGTTGTAAAGCGATAAATCTCAAGTGCAAGGGCTCCCCTTGCAGATGACCTGTTTCAGGCATGAAACTGTCTTGTAGATGAGCATCTTTGGAATCCAGCGTTTTGGAGCTTAGAGACACTTGTTAATCAGTGGTCAGTCGTTTGAATGATTGGTCAGAGTCTTTTTTGTTTTGAGTTTTGACAGTTTCCGGGCCCTTCATTGCTCTACAAGTTGTTAGGAACTGTAACTAAACCATGTTCCAAACGTATCTTGCCTGCCAATGTCACCAGGTACTTGATGCTGCGGGAAGATATCATCTACACATTGGCATATTCCTCATCGAAAGAAGAGGCATGCATCATCTATAGCCGCTAGAGTCTCGCTTAGGGCCTTGTGTGGTATCAAGCAGCCAGGTGCAAGAAACCTGGCGCCAGGTTGAGCGGTACAAGGCCCACGTTTTTTTAATTTATTTATCCCAAAAGAAAATCAGTTGGATGACAAGGGCTTTCAGGTGCTTGCATGCCTTGCACTGCTTGTCGGCCGTGATGAGCGTGTTTTTTTTTAGATGAGAATCTCCGGCACACGAGGAGCAAGGACGCTACTAGGGGCTCCTGGCATCGCTACTAGGAACAAGAAGTTACTAGGGGCTCCTGGCCTTACTACTAGGAGCAAGGACGCTACATTGCATCCTACGGAAGTGGTGACTTCAGGCTCAGCATTCGCACGACATCCGCCAAAGACAACAAGAGCTGCCCCGCAAGGCACCTTTGCGCCCAAGCGAACGCACACTGTGGAGGAAAGGACATACACTCCGGTGAAAAGAACATTTCGATGACAATTTCCGATTCAATTTCATGTTGGTGACAGGGTGCAAAAGTGCATTTTTGCATGTTCCACATTTAATTTGCGCCAGCAGCCAGTTCTCAACTGGGTTTCAGCCAGGCCCAAGTTTTTTGCCCCTAGAATTTTTTGGGTCCCCGCAGTCCATGTTAGTTTTGAGCCTCAAACAAGGACTACCAAGAATCAAGACATTTCTCGCCATGGCTATGGCTAAAAACAAAGACCTTCGAGGTCTGAAATTCGTTCGGTCTTTTTTGCTTTCAGGGTGCGGGCCGGGTCAATCTGTAGCCCCGACCGAATAAGGAGCCTTTAGATCCTTTGCCTTATATAAGTTTTCCAGGCAGTTTACTTGTGATGCCGATTGTTCGAAGTGACACAAAGGACTTGTGACGTCGAAGTTGGCTTGTGGAAGACTCGTTTGCACAATCCATACTGTAGAATCATTGATTATGAATTATGACTACTGCTATATACTATTCTGCAAGCTTTTTGTAGGTATTCACAGAGCCACCCAGCGGTTACTTGGGAAGGCCCTTGAGAAGATGGCCGCTGTCATCACAGCGGAAGGTGCGGCCGCGGGGAACCCCTTGAAGCCGAACGGGTGACTTCGCGCTTTCGCAAAGCATCTGCAGTGAACTCTCAGGTGACTTCTCAAGCCGGGTGAACGCTGAGTGGGCCACAGCTGCCCAGTTCCAACACCCGTTGCAGGCCCAGTTCCAATACGTAGACGGCTCCCACAAAATACACATTTTTCAAACGTTGCTCACCATAAGATATGTATTGTAAAGATCATGGATCATAGTCCACCAGAAATCATGAACACATGGTCATGTGGAGTAGTGGTCATGAAGGACCTCTCAACCATGAGGTCAGGGTTTCAAGCCCCGGAGGCCTTGAGCTCGAGCGGACGGGGACGCAAACGTGCTCGGGAGGATTTGATTACACTGGTAGTGGAGCCAAAGTGCTCCGAATCCTCCGCGCCGGTGCCATCGTTGGTCGCTGCTGACCGTGGATTTGGAGCTGAGGTTGAGAACTGTTGGTCGTACAGAATCGATTATTCTTGGAGTTTTGCGTTGTGGCTGCACAACACACAGGTTGGACACTATCATGCCAGAACTTGACTTGGCTTGCGACTGCGGGTATTGGTGTTTTGACTTGGTGTTGGCAGGCAGCTGGGAAATCACTATCAACCGCATTTCGTCCATGGCTTGACTGAATTTTGCAAGATTGACTTTTTGAGCAAAGCAACATTGTGCAGAGCAACGTTGAACATTGACAAGTTGACAAGTCGAGATGGCGCATCGACAGTTGCAGAGCTCATTGTGGGTGGGTCCGAAGACACATGTTGTTCATTTGACGGCGGACCCAAGCATGCTGAGGAGTACAAAGAGAGAGTGACGCTTGGGTTTCAGACCACCTCAAAAGAAGACAAGCCAGCCTATGCAGCACGGTTGTAACATGCACTACATGGTAGAGCTTTCCCCAGGACAGCGCTGTGCAATATTGGGACAAGCGGGGCAAGAATACGATTGGGGCAAGATAGTTGAGGCAATGTTGGTTCAGCTTGACCAAGGAGAGGATGCCCGACGCAGTGACTGGAAATGGGGACTTCAGATGAGGTCACAGCGTCAACAACCTACAGAACAGAAAAGGTAGCTGGGCTGGGCCTTTCCGATTGTCGAGGTCAATGGAGCGAGCTCAAGGAGAAGAGTCGCCAGAGGCCTATGTGACAGAAGATTGGTTTGAGAGCACAGGAGAAGATGAAGAGATTCCAGTGTATGAGGCAGATGCTCTTGAAGCCCAGCCCTGGCGATCGAAGACATGACCCCAGATGGGTTGGAGGTGTTTGCGTTTATTGCGCAGCGCGCACGTTGAGGCCTATGTGATGCTGCTGACTTGCCATAAATGCCCACCAGCTTGACCCACATGACCAAAGAGCCCGCGACAATGTGCCCTTATGAGCGGTAGACTCTGCCCCACTCATCGAGTGTCTTGTCACCGATGTGTCCAGTGAGGTTATTGAATGATGCCTCATGCCCCGCCTCATGCCTGGTCGGAACCCTCGCCAGCTTTGCTGCCTCCTTCAGACTTGCGATCTTTGGATCTTTTAAGTCACCTGCCAACTTGCTGACTTGGAATCCAATGGTGTACCCAATGATCCGGCGTACCACTGCAACTGCCCAAGGAGCCCTCAAAATTCTTTCGTTTCACTTGAACTGAGCTTTGCCTCGGCTGACGCGATATGTCCGCATGTTTTAACATAGTCTTTGGCATGGATGTGGCTGGTGAAATCCTCATCTTGGTGGTAGGAGCGACATAAGAACTTCGCCATCCGTTCGCCGTTGCCCCCATTCAATCTCCTCTTGCGTCTTTTCTTACTTTTCTTCATTCCGTGCGATAAGAGCATCGTCAACGTGTAGCGCTTTGGGATCGCCATTGTCTCTTTGGTGTCTTTCTGCCTCGCGCAACGCAGCCGGCCACCTCGAAGGTCAGGGCCTCCCATCCCAACTGGTGGTACCACTGCCGGCAGCGCTGCGTCATGGACACCATATGGGCTGATTCACCGCGCCAAGAACCTTTGCTCTGCCAATTCCTTTGCCGGTCAAGGTACAGCTCTCGGTTGATCTCAAGCCCTTGCAGGCGTGCACCTTTGAGGCCTGCTGCTCTCAGCTTCTCAGGCAGTCTCGGATCTGGCCCTAATGTCCACTTCTTGGAATACAAGACATCTTGAATGGATGTCAGGCCTTTGCTCCGCAAAGCTTTGGTTAATGCACCAGCCGTGATGGAATCCGGTCGCATACTGTAAACTGCGCCTTCTTTTAAGATCTCCTGATGATTGCGGCCTCTAAGGAAGGGCCTCTGTCTGAAAGCAACACACACTCTCTCTCTGTCTCTCTCGCGCGCTCTCTTTCCCTCCGATCAAACGCAATCGTAGAGCAACCGGCAATCTCTCATAGTCACACTTGGGATGTGGTGTAAGTGGTCC